TTCTTCCTCTGCTCCTGAAAGATCAAAAATTGCAGTTTGTATGTTTAGAGTTCAGGTAACACGTGTAACACAGAAGCGGGTTGAGTGGATTTTCGTAATTGGGCTCCATGGCTTCTTTACATGGGCGTTTTCTTCACTCCACCGATTATGTTAAACTTTTATTGTAAAATAATTTAAAATATTAACCGAATTTTTTAATAAAAAATTCATATATTTTAAATAATTATGTATTCCTCACGTACTAATAATAATACAATCAATCATTTATTAAAAATTTATATTAAATATACAATCTGACTTAAATTTATATTTTTATAAAAAATTGTAAAAATATTAATAATTTAGTTAATGAATAAATAATTTAGTTAAACGATTACAGTATTAGTATTAATTTATCAAAATAATAATAAATAATATTTGAATTATGTAAATAAAATAAATTATATTAAATATATGTTCATCTAAATCTTGGTCAAATCAAATCTACCATTAAGAACATTTTTCAGAAGCAACCAAGTACAGACAGCTCCATAATTTCCCAATAAATCAGAAAAGAGAACAGAAGGAAGAGACAATTTTGACTGAACCATTTGCATCTTTTATTCAAACTTCTAACGATGAATTATTTTCCTTATTAAACAAAATAAGTTTGGAAATTTCCATCATAAAGATGTTATCTTATGCAGTGGTAATTAAGAAAAATTAAATCTAGAAAATATCTGAAATATTCTACCTCAGAGAACTGCTGTTACCGCTCCATTAGTGAACTCTTCTTGGTCACGCTTAAAATGAAAAGGCTGAGATACAGGGGCAGCTACCGGATACAGATTGTTCAATTATTTGCTGGACTCTCTACAAGTTGATGCAGCTGTTTCCATCTTCTCAGCCGCGGAAACTGCTGCAGATACTGCCTTGTCCAAACCCAATTTCTGCAATTTATTTATGAAACCATTGACATCAGCAGCATTAATCTTGTATGGGCTGTGAGAAGGACTGGGGAATGAACCATTTGTTACTTCTTCCTTGTATTCCAGCAGTGCCTTGTTGATGACATCTCCGACTTGCGCATACTGCTTACAGAACTTAGGAGTAACCTGTTGGAGGTGAAAGAAATGCCTGAATAAAGCTTTTGATAAAAGTAAATAAGAGTGTCAAGAAAGTATTGCTTTGCGTAACCTTAGCATGATGTGGATGTTGCATCATTCCCAGTAAATCGTGGTAAACTAACACCTGCATGGAAAATGATTAAATTTGATATGACGAAAACAACAATCCATGTCGAGTTTTTATCAACTCATGTTTGACACAATCAGTTATGGCAGTTAAAGAAACTATGAAAAGTAAACTGATGGTAGATACAATTAAAGGCAAAGTATTGTTTTTCTAATTCTGAATTGCTGCAGTTCATCTAGATTATACATGTAGGAGTAAAAGCGGAGTTCTGAATCGCATCAGTGCTTAATGACTACTAGCACTTTGACGAAAAATGTAGCCTTACATCCAAAAGAAACCATAAGATAACGCTAACTTGATCGTAAGATGTCTCTCTTCTAAAATAAACTTGGAAAGCTGTCCTTTGAAACCCGAGAGGTCATCACTTGAATGAAAAACTAAACAAACAGATGCCATCTGAGTAACAAACCATAATTTCCAATGATTTTGACTGATCAAGAAAATGAAGAACTAACAATTAAATTTACTTTAATCATGTACAAAATTAGGAGTCTCAGTAAAAATTAAAACTATTGAAATATTAAGGCTAAACATCAGAAAATAACTACAGAATACTCCTGAAGGGTGAAAATTCCATTACCAAATAAAAATTCTTTGCAACTTGACATCCATTAGTTCTACAATAGCTGCGCTGGTGGGAACTCATTACGTACTTAGGTAATAGGATTTGAATGGGCAAATAAATACACTCAAAACAACCAGTAAAGACTGCTTTAGAAACAGAGCCAACCAAACCTTCAACTCAAGCATGTCCTCCAAACCAGTTCAAGGATGGACACTACAATGGTAGACAGAACATCAGAGACTAATTTCGAGAATTTGCCAGAGTAAAACCTACTCCATACACCCACAGGGGGATCAGACTTTTGGAATTACATACTTGGCCAGAAGAACAAAAAACTCATGAGTTTACCTGTGGTTGGATGACAGTTTCAGAACAAAATAGAAACCAGAGATCATAAATCTTCTGACAACTTTTCCATAATCCTAGAATGTGGGATCTCTCTTTTTCTCCATCACAATTTAGATTCGGGAAGTTGAAGAAGCGACAACAACATTCTAAACTTGACTCAACTTAATTTGTTTTATTGCAAATTCCCAGTCAGCAGTTAGGCCAGTTCTCAGACATGATTATAGAAATCATAAGCAAGTCTAGATATCATGCAAAGATGAAATACCCTAGGATATTCTGATGACAAAAGTGATATATACACATACACAAACACCCAAACAAATCTCTGCTAGCATGCAGTAATTTTTGAAACTATGAAAGAACAGTAGTCTAAATTAACCT